GCCACGGCGATGTATACAGCGCTGTTTGGCCAGAGAAAAGTTACAAAACCCAGCATGTCCATGTGGCTCACCCCTTGCAGTTAGGCATTATACAAAAAGACCGGCTTCCTATGCACACAAATGTTCCTTCCCATGCCACCAGACAGGGCCGTGGATATTACCAGTATATGAACTACGGCACTAATTGGGGGGAAAAAATATTTGAGATGCAAGAATGCTGTAATTCACAGAGCTCCCTTCCTTCATCTCGGCAGAGAGAAGCCATGGCTTGTAAGCCAGTAAGGTGTTATTCTGGTCATTGATTATGCCAGCGGAGTTGATCTGCATATTGGGAATGTTGGCAGATCTTGGCAGGAACAATAATTACTACAATATCTCTGTGCATACTTACAGAATGGTCGTGTAATTGTATATATCTTTATTTGTCTGACTCTACAGTTCTTCTCTTTTATTTGTGTCCAATTGAGACTGTAGGAATTACTGACCAAAGACATTTCCCCCCTATTTTTTATTTTTGCCCAGTAATCTAATGCAAAGAGCCCGAGCCCAGGCCCAGCAACTGCTCTCAGTTAGTTTTCTTAAAGGCAACATTGTGTAAGCACTGCTTTTACTGTCCAGTAACAGTGCTCAAGAGCTGAGCAATCCACTTACAGTCATACAAAGGTCTCCAATATACCTAGGTACACAATGCTCTCGCACTGACCCGTGCTCCAAGGCAGAGCACATAAGGCATGTCGCTCATACAGGTGTGGCTAGGCAATGAAGTGCCTATTTTGGGGCCCTAAGCTGGCCATACACTGCTCAAGTTTTGCCCGAATCCTACTGACTCTGCTGACATATGAGCAGTGTGTGGCCCCTTCTGGATCCCTCCGTTTGGCAATAGATGATTTTTCAATCAACTTTAGTTGAAGCAGCCAATACCAAAATTCTCAGGTGACTGCAGCCAATTAGCTACAGCCACTGTTCAGGTATTCTGACAGCTCCCATCACTGTCACAATACAATAGACCAGTGAAAAGGGGGAAAAAGGGGCAGCATATGGTCAGCTTTAACCGATATTTGTGATAACGCAGACCATCATTTCACAAAGAATTACTGACAGAATTGACATCATAAAGACTACACAGAGTAGATTTTGTTTCTTCTAGTTTAATTACGATTTGCACATTCTTAGAAGCTTCAGGGCTTGTTCACACTTGTCTGTTTTCTGTAGTAAGAAGGCATGTATAAAATAGCATTTTTAAGAAGAAATCCCACTTTTTCCTCTGTGGCTATGCATCACCCGCGTGCTGCAACTTACTGTTTTTTTTCAAATGTAGAACATGCTATAATTTGTGTGTTTATGTGTGTCAAGCAGGCCTACTGAAATGAAGTGGAAGTGCATACCAATGCATGTATCATGGAGTTTTATGCATTTTTACATAAGAACCAGAAAAAAGCCGTGTTCTGAATGTTTCTCCCTCACTTTACATAATTAATTACCCAAAACAAACAAAATATCAGCTATAAAAGACACAAATAAATGTGCATAAAAGTGCTTTAAGGAAAAAGCAAAATTATTGCATATCAACAAGAGTGGAACTGCCCCTCGATTGTTGGCAGTTAAGCCTCCCCACCGCCGCATTGTAAAAAAAAAAAAAAGGTGGGCGTCTATTTCTGGAATGACGCTTTAAAACATAATTCCAAAAATAGCTGTTGAGCGCCCGCTGCGCAAGCTAATCTCTGTGTAACGACAGTGAGGAGAATTTATCAAAACTGGAGCAGACAATATCTGGAACAGCTGTGCAAGGCAACCAATCAGCTTCTATGTTTCATTTTCAAATCCTAACTGAACATACTGAAGAGAGAAGCTGATTGGTTGCCCTGGGCAACTGCTCCAGATTTTCTCTGCTCCAGTTTTGATAAGTTCCCCCCAGAGTGTATCATGCCATGCCGATTGGCTCACTACCCTGTGATCGTTGTGATGACCAATTACAGCTGTCACATGGTACTGTATACATTGAAGATCCCTCCCATTCCTCTTACAACAGACGAATCATCGTTAATGGGAGAATGAATGAATTGGTCAGCAGCAGCTGCTGATGCATACATTTATTCTCACTGATGGTGACAGATTTTTTTTAACCCCTTCAGTGCCCACCATCAAGATTCAGCCTGCATCTGTATAGTGCCCTGTATATAAATCCTTCACCTCCCTTATCTTGCACATTAACACCTTCATCTGTGTCTTGTAACTGTATACCCGTTTATTAAACCCTTTGCCTACCAATCCTGTGTATGACCTGCTGTATCTAGTTCACTATTACCAAGCTCCATGTTTTATCTCCCTCAATACGCGTACATTTAATTTCCAAATGATTGTGGCAAAATATCTGATTACCTTTTAAAAAGTCGTAATTTCGGGGGTGTTTGTACTGTCTGTTTACACCGTACATTTTAACAGAAAGTAAGGTTTCATTACCCACTGCCCGGGAAGCCGGCTCGATGTTGATTGGCCGGGAAGGTGGCCCCGGCTGGTTGGCCGGCTCAATGCTGATTGGCCGGGGGACCGCTTTCCCGGCCAACCGGCATGTAGCCGGCTTCCCGGGCCAATCAGGAAGCCGAGTCGCGAGTCATTACCCGTGGCCCAGCTTCCTGACTGGCCGGGAAGCCGTCTCCATGTTCCCTCGTGACATTGCCGGTCAGAGGGCCGGTCAAATCTTCTTCTGACCGGAAGTTCCGGTATCTGGATAAGTATTGGAGCAAGTAATCGGTATCGGCAACGATACTAGTATCAGTGCATCCCTAACAAAAAGAGTAAATTAAACTGCTGTAAAATTACTTATATGGTGGCTGTTTAATGTCAGTTAAATAAAGGTTATTGGTATATGTCTGAGCTCACCATATAAAAACAGTGTATATGTTGGATGGACAATGGTTATAAGATGGTCTAAACAATCCTGATGGAACATGACTTAGTGGTTCAGCCTTGCAGCACTGGGGGTCCCCAGTTGGAATCCCAGTCAGGACACTATCTGCATGAAGTTTGCATGTTCTCCCTGTACTTGTCAGGGTTTCCTCTCAGTACTCTCATTTCACCCCACACTCCAAAGACATGCTGGTAGGTTAACTGACTGTTTCCAAAATTGACCCTAGTAAGTGTGTGCGTGTATGAATGCATATAAGATAGGGACCTTAGACCGTAAGCTTCTTGAGATAAGGTGAGATGATGTGAATGTACAATATGTAAAGCTGTACATAATTTTGCCAGAGCTATAGAAATAGCTGTAATTAATAATAATAAAGATGTGACAGGAAGGCAAAAGTCACACAAGCAAGCAGTCAGTAATGGAAACAGGAGGCCGGATGACAATGCAACATGGCCTATTAGTAGACTGAATGCTCCAGCAATTCGCTAAGCAAAGGCACAGGTATAATTATGCAGGGAAATGCCAGATTAGATGTAGTGGAGAGGGTTAGACAGAAACAACATAAGACTAAGGGTTGTTTTAAGAAAACATGCCAGTGACAAAACTTTCAAGACAACTTATCTTTTCCTATGGAGTCACTCCCTTGCTGGCCATACCAGGGAGATTTCACCACCTGGTGAATGAGATGCAGCGAGGGAGAGACTATATAGGCTAACCCCACCACCCCACTTATCACCAAAGGCAGAATTGCCTGTCTGACAAGGGCCTAACAGAAAACGGACACAGGACAAACAATCAGCACAAAATTAACAAGTAGTGTAGTGGTCAGAACAGATGCACAAGATAGTAGAGGTCTGGACTTTGCATCAAGACAGGTCCTCATGCTGCCAAAGTTTACTGCAGCATATTAGGTAACACCTCAGGGCAGGAGCCAAGGAGGTGAACAGCATTGCAGTATAGCTTTAGGCTTCACTATACATTTCATCCTATCCTAATGGATTACAATTTATCATCATCACAAAATGTTAGGTCATTACCTTTTCATGCTTTTTCAGGAAGTCTGTTTTCTTAATCTTTCCATGATGCTGCAAAGAAAGACAATAAAACAGCTAATGTGTGACATTTGGTATCACAGTGTAAAATACTGCATAGAAGACCTGGCTGCCAAAAAGCAAATCTCTGAAAAATAAACATGCATGTTCCATGGTTGTCAGCCTTGTCCTGCTTTCACTACCCAGCAAGTCACTGACATGAAAAGCAAAGTGTGAACATGGTTGGTCCAGGCCAGGTAATCACTAGCTAGAAAACTCATGAAGATACCTATTAAGACAAAACCAGTAATGGCAGCTCCCAGTGGTTTACAAACACTGGAGTGATCAGCTGACCACACCAGTGTTTGTGCTGCACACAGAGGATCGGTAAATATTACGCAGATTTACTGATCCTCTGCTCGGCCACACACAGAGCCGCTGTCATCCTGAAACTGACAGGATGACAGCGGCTCCGCTCTCCTCCCTGCTCGGCAATCCTAACAGCTGAGACTGCTCTCTCCTCCCCGCTGGACCAACCTGATCAAAGCGGCTCCCTCCGCTGGCTTCGGCACTCCATTTTACCTGCTGCCTCAGCCCATACAGGCGAAGGAGAGCAACGGGAATACAAGGCGCGGAGGAGAGGCAGTGAAGCGGTCAGATGCCGGCGGCTGTGTTGCCTGGGGGGGGGGGGGGGGATTTTTTTTTAAAAGTGTAACTAATTTTTTTTAACTTTTTTTTTT